CCCAATCTCCTGTAGTCCAGGCTGGCCTTGAACAGGATATGCTACTAAGGATGCTCTTCCTGCCCCCACCTCCCAAGTGCTGGGATTGCAGGTATGCACCTCCATATCTGGTTTATTCAGCGCTGGGGCTTCAACCCAGGATGACATGCATGCCAGGCAAGCATTATACCAACCGAGCGACATCCCAGCCCTCTGTATCCATTTTTTAACCATCTGGAGAAAGAAGTTGGGGAATAAATTACATAGGAATTTGGAAATAAAAAAGAATAAATATATGTGCCAGATCTCTTTTTAATACTGAAGATTTTTAAAATGTAGCTGACAATGTTATTAAAATCTTACTGTATTGCAATGATTGCAAAATCAAAATCTGTTAAGGTTTTATAAGGGACTACAGCTTTTTTTTTTTTTTAAGTCTATATATATGGTCATAGTATAAAATGACTCCTACCCAGCCCTTGGCTTTGCATTCTTCTTCTTTCTTCCCGGACTGTAATGGGGATGTGGCATTAGTTTCCCAAGGGGTACAGGGTAATATTCTGGATCAGGGCAGTAAAGCATCAACAAAACAAGTTGGGGTCCTGGAGCAGGGCAGCTTTATTGTCAATTTGCACACCAGGGAAGAGAGAGCCTCAGCTGAAGAATCCGTTGCATCAGATTGGACTGTGGGCTTGTCTGTACGGGGATATTTTTGACTGCTAATTGATGTCGGAGGGTCCTGGACACTGTGCGTGGTACCATCCCTAGGCGTATGGGCCTGGGCCCAATAAGAAAGGCAGCTGACAACAAGCCAGTGAGCAGTGTTCCTCTATGGTCTCTACTCCAGTTTCTGCTTGAGTTCCTGCCTGGACTTCCCTCAGGGATGGACTGGACCTGGAAGTGTAAGCTGAAAGAAAACCTTTCCTTGCCCAAGTTTCTTTTGGTCTATGGGGTTTATCTCAGAAAAGCAAACCAGGCCATAGCTGGGGCCCCCACGGCCTTGAACTTCTAGGTAATGGAAATGAGTGTTCCTATATCTGGTTAATCTTTCTGAAAACAGCTGAAACCACTTCCTGCAGGATACACCCAGTTTCCAGGGTATTCCCAGCCACACCCTCCCTTGTTTCCCAGGGCTCAGCCTTTCCCTGTCTGCTGTTTTTTCTCTGCATCTCTGATGCGATCATGATCCACTTGCCAGGAAAATTCTACCGTTTCTTCACCAGCTGCACCGGGAGAGACCCAGGCTCATCTTGTATTTCTGGCAGCCGTGTGCCGCCATCATACCACTTTGTGGCTTCAGGAACTTCTGTGGAGCTCTTACAGAGCCATCTGCCTCCACACACCATGCTGATATCCGTCTGCTCTGGTAGCTGCTGGACTGAGACAACCTTCAGTTTTCAGCTTCCACCTGCAGTGGGGCTGAATATTCTGTTCTAGAAGCCCTGTGTATACTTGGGTGTTTTATTTTATTATTCCTTTCTCTGAGCCCAGCAGTGGGAAAGAAGGGGATCCATTTTCAGAGTCCATTCTCTGGAGCACACTGGTGGATAGCCACCAACATGGTCCCTTTGTGCTTTTCTTTCAAATCCCCTTGTTTTCCTGTCAATAGCAAAATGTTTTTTGAGTTGTTGGTCGAGTGGCAATCACCAGAATAAAATAGATGGATGACAGTGTGTGCTAATGGTTCAGGGTTTCAGCTGTGTTAATATTGCCACTTGCTTGTGTTGGGGGGAGTTTCCTCAGTCAATAAATAAGAGTGATTTGCCATTATGGGGGTGAAAGTTCACTGGCTTCGAATTTTTGAAGGCTGCGTTCTAGTTTATTCTTTGAGAGGGTGTCCTCTTTGTCAACAGTAAGGACCAATTCCCATTGATTCTGTTTGCCTCTTTATCTGTGGACTTTGATTCTGTTGATTGGTTCATGCTTCAGTTTTCACTATGTATTTCCATAGCTCATGATACCTCGGTGACAGGGACTGTAGGTTTGCAAATAAAAATAGTCAATATTTAAACCGAATGCCGAAGTAACAAGTACTCCATGCATACCAATTCATTTTAAAAATTCATTTATTTTTGAGGGAGATACAGTTCAAAGTGGAAATAGGATTTAAACCTACCCAATCTAGTTCCAAGGCCTGTGTGCTTAATTATTAAGCTAGATGACCTCTTATAATCAGGACAAATTGGGAGGAAAGGAAAAGTGAGCTGTAATTATGGGTGCACTTTCCTAATTTGATCTATCAGTGCCAATCTTTCAAAATTGAAATGAATGTGCCTCATTCTATTTAAAATTACCCCCAAATTAAAGATTATGAGTAGCAGGATCAATGCTTATGAAGTGCAGTGCTTAAGATTTTTTTTTTTTCCAGACAGGGTTTCTCTATATTGCTTTGGAAACTAGCTCTTGTAGACCAGGCTGGTCTTGAACTCACAGAGATCCACCTGCCTCTGCCCCTCCGAATGCTGGGATTAAAGGTGAGTGCCACCACTGCCCAGCTCTACTTGCACATTTATGTGCACTCCAGGCATCGAACTCAGGTCACCAGGCTTGCACAGAAGATGCCTGTTGAACCATCTCACTGACTCTAGGCTGTCAATTTTTAAGATAAATAAGGATCATACTGAAACTTACTTTTTTCCAAAAATGACTTTTGGCCACAAATTAGTACATTAAACTTAATTTTAATTCCCAAACAGAAATAGTAATTTAAAAATTATGTCAACAAGCAATTAAGTAAGAATTTGTTTAGCTTTCTTTTTCTCTCTCTCTCTCTCTCTCTCTCTCTCCCTCTCTCTCCCTCCCTCCCTTCCTTCCTTCCTTCCTTTTTTTTTGGTGACATTCATTGAAAGTACTTTAGCCGGTTAATCGAATAATTGCGTGATACAACTTTATTGCCATCTAGTGGCAGCATGTGGAAAGGTTGAGGTTCACCTGCACCCCTCCCTCCCCCTTGGCAGCCACCTTCTTTGTTTCTGTCAATATTAACCAGTTCTCTGAGGTAGCACCTTTTGGCTCCCTTACCAGGAATCTTTGAGTACATTGTGTTACTAGTTTGATTTAGAACAGATTACTTCTTTATAGTTCTCATTTTGAAGGCACCATTTATCTTGAGAGTCATCTCACAGACGGGTCTCTGAATGTGCAAGTTGTCTGTGCTTCAGATGATCAACATGGGAAAATGCCCCTGATGCTTGATTCAGTCACTGGGAGATTCTTTAGAGTCAGAAGAAAAAGGAGAATAACGCATCAAATATGTATGCAGCCACTCACTGTCTTCTGTATTGCTGTGGGTCGAACTGTCTCAAACAGCATGAACAGAGAACAAATAAGTAGCTTACACAGTCTCTGTCTTCAGAGTTTCTAGAGTCAAAGCCTGGCTTCTAGCAGCTTCTACAAGCTAGGCTGGGCTACCAGTCCAAAACAGGTGACAATTAGAGGCCATTAAAGAGACAAGTGATATTGGAAGGCTGAGAAAGTTTTCTTCACCGTGGCCACATGGGGAAGAGGTACAAGTCAAGAAGAGGTCCAGTGACCCCTGAGTCTGTCTTTGTCTTGATGTGAAATTTAGGTCTTAGGAGAGGACAAGCGGTATGCAAAACGAAGCGGTTCTAGTCACTGACCCATCCCCGTCTTGGTCCCTGCAAGCTGGTCTGACAAGTTATCAGAACTGTGTGAAATCTCTTCCTGGAAGTCAATTTCCTCTTCTGAGTGGCGTCATCATCATCATCGTGGCTTTAGCTTTTCCCTTCCTGGGAGACTATTGTCTCAATAATTGTCTGATGGCACCCTCATCCCTGTCAGGTCTCACTATGTATCCCTGGTTGGTCTGGAGCTCAATATATAGACCAGACTGGCCTTGAACTCATGGAGATTAGCTTGCCTCTGCCTCATGAGAGCTAGAACTAAAGGCTTGCACCATTACACTCAGGCAAGTGTCTTTCTTTCAGAGTCTTCTATGAGAATAGTTCCATGCTGCCCAGGAAGCCCAGAGTGGTTCGGCCAGGTGTCCTGTCTTGGAGTTCTCCACTCAAGTTTCACATGGGGCCGCATTGTCTCAGAGCTCTACAGGGCTGAGGGATCTATTTCTAGACTCACAGAGAAGGAAGGTTTCAGGGGCTTGCTTGCGGCTGCCCAGATTCTCTATTTTACAGCATGTAAGCCTTTTTTCTTGGACTTGCTCTTCCAGGGCAACAGAGATCTGGGCCACTGTGAAAGGGAACTGTGTGGGCTTGACATAGGAGGTCTGGTTTTAAGGCTGGCTACTCCACAGCCACCCAGCTTTATCAAAGGGTAGCGTTTTGCCCCATTTGACTATTTCACAGTAGAGGAACAGATGGGACAGACTTTCCCTTCACAGCCGGCTGTGCTCAGCCACATCATGCTGACTCTCCCTTATGCCGTCCTGTAGGTGATCTCTTTCTTGTTCACATTTACCTGTAAAGATGTGTCTTTAGTCCCAGCTGCTGCAGAGGAGGGTGAATTCAGCAGGAGAGGTGAGGCGTGAGGGGCATTGAACCAGCCTGCATAGATCAAAAGACGTGTTTGGTTTGTCACCCCCTCTCTATCTCTCTCCCTCTCTTCTTCTCCATCTTTCTCCCCCTTCCTCCCTCCTTCCCTCTTTCTCTCCCTCCATCTTTCTCTTCCTCCCTCTCTTTATTTCTCTCTCTCTCCATCTTTCTCTCTCTCCATCCCTCTCTCCATCCACCCTGTTTAGTGTGCATGCGGCACGTTGTGTGTGTGTGTGTGTGTGTGTGTGTGTGTGTACAGTTGTGTATTTTACAGCACCTGGAGGTTGGTTCTCTCCTGCCACCTTGTGGGATCCAGAATCAAATTCAGGTTGTCAAAGCTTTCAAGGACACCTCTACTCTTTAAATATTGTTCCCAAGCCCTTAAAGCGGAAAGTAATCTCATGTGTTGTTCAAATGTGTTCTCTCCCTCTCTCTCTCTCTCTCTCTCTCTCTCTCTCTCTCTCTCTCTCTCTTTCTCTCTCTCTCTCATTCTCTCTTTCTCCTGTGAGACAGAATCTCACCAGAGGGCAAGGAGAATGGAATTGAAGACTAATATACCGAGGACTTGAAAATGGTAAGTTTAACAGTTTAATCTTTAACCAGAGCAAAACAGTAGGATGTTAGAAGGGGGCCTTGTCTCATCCTTTTGTTGCTTTTTTATTTCCTTCCTGTTTTGATGTAGGGTCTCATGGATTCCCAAACTGGTCTAGAACTGTTGATGAAGCTAACTAGAACTTTTGATCCTCTCCCCCGTGCCTCTCTAGTTCTGGAATTAGAAGTGTGCTCCATCATGCCTGGCTTACGCCATGCTTGGGATTGAAGCCAGGATTCGATGTGTGCTAGGCAAGCATTCTAGCAACATTCTATCCCCAGTGCAGTTTCTACATACAAAAGAAAGGTTTATTTATTTACTTTTTACTTACTTTGGGGTGGGGAGGGGGCATTGAGGTAGGGCTTCTCTGTGTAACTGCTCCGTGGCTGTCTTGGAATTCGCTTTGTGCACCAGGTTGGCCTCGAACTCACAGAGATCGGCTTGCCTCTGCCTCCCAAGTGCTGGGATTAAAGGGTGTGCCACTACTGCCAGCTCATTTATTTACAAATTTAATGTATGTGTGCCTGAGTGCATATATATGTATACATACATACCCCATTAGAGGCCAGAAACAGGCACCAGATCCCCTGGAATTGGAGTTACAGGTGCTTGTGAGCCATCAGAAACAGGTGCTGCGAACTGAACCCAGGTCTTCTACAAGACTAGCAAGTGTTAGTCATTCAACAGCTGATGTTGACAAGACCAAAAAAGGCTGCACTGCCAGTGTAAAGGCAAATGTGTGTGGGGGGGGCGAAAGGTTCTATGCAAAGTAGTTCAAAAAGAAACTTTGAATATTTCAACATGGCTCTGGATGGGAGTCAGAAATAAAAACCTTCCCTGAACTGAAACCACAAACACATTCTTGTGGTTGCTGGGATCTGAGTCTACCAAATGATTCAAGAAAAGGTCAGGGAGAGCGTTTAATCTAAGGTGGTCACTGTATGGTTTGGAGCCATATTTGATGAATGAACTCAGCTTCTCTCTAGAAAAACTTGATTTCAAGTTAACAGCAGTTGATAAGATTCAGTGGATGCTAACTGCATGTTAATTTTAGTTATATTAACCCATAAAAATATGTATCACAGAAGTAGTGAGGTATTATTATTGCCTGGGGAGAATAGAGCAATATGTCTCAAAATTAAGCCTCTAGGCTTCATAGAGCGTGTGTGTGTGTGTGTGTGTGTGTGTGTGTGTGTGTGTGTGTGTGTGTGTGTTTGTGTGTGTGTGTGTAGGAAAGACAAGGAGGGGATCAAGACAGAGTGTATGCCAATTGTAAGAGGGTCCACCTCCACTACTCTGAGCCCCAGCCTTGCAGGATAGGAGCCTGTGGAGATGTCTCATGCCACACGTGCCTACTATGATACAATCTTTGTGTACACTACGAATATATATTACTCTCACTGGCTAGTAAAGAGCTGACAGCCTCTAACTAGGCAGGATTTTCAGGGAGAGAGGACTCTGGGAGAAGGAAGGGCAGAGTCACAGAAGTCTCCAGCCAGACTTAGAGGAAGCAGGATGTGTACAAATGGAGTAACGAGCCATGAGCCAGGTGGCAGCAAATAAATAAATATAAATGGGTTAATTTATGAGAATTAGTTAAAAACAAGTCTAAGCTATTGGTTGAGCACTTATAATTAATAATTAGTCTCTGTGTGGTTATTTGGGAGCTGCCGATCCTGACAAAAACTCCACCTATACATGCCACTAACATCAAAGGTATCTGAGGCCTCCTCCTCCTCCTCCTCTTCCTCCTCCTCCTCCTCCTCCTCCTCCTCTCTCTTTTGGTTTTTCTTTTTTTTTTTAAATTTTTTTTAAAAAATTATTTTTTTGGTTTTCCGAGACAGAGTTTCTCTGTGTAGCTTTGGAGCCTATTCTGGTACTCGCTCTGTAGACCAGGCTGGCCTCAAACTCTCAGAAATCAGCCTGCCTCTTCCTCCCTTTGAGTGCTGGGATTAAAGGTGTATGCCACCTTTTTTTTTTTTTTTAAAGGCAAAGTCTTCTGTAGCCCAGGTTGACCTCCAGCTTGCTATGTGGCCAAGAATGATGTCACACACCTGAAGCCCCTGCCTCTACCTCCTAAGTGTCAGGTTAGGGGTATGTGCCTCTACTTATGGCTTAGTATCCCATTTTGGATGGTCTTATCCTCTGACATGAACTAGAGCTGATCTTTTGTCTAACTGAGCCTATTTCATCTTTCTTCTGCAGATCCTTTCCAAAGAAACTGATCTTTGTCTTCCAAGTATTCCTCTCTATTTGATAATTGTTTTTGTTGTTTATATATAACATGCCTGCCAGGAGAACTAAAATGAAGACAGAGAACCCAAAGCAGCCAGAATGATGAGGAGAGGCAAGGAGAGAGAGAGGACCTTGCTCACTGTCATAAATAAGAAAAAGGACATCTCTTCCCTCAGGCTAAAAGCAGACAGAACATCACCTCAGAACAATGGTCTCTTCTTCTGTTCCAACTGGTGTAACTTTATGAAAAATCTATCTATAACCTGTCTATCTGTCTATCTACCAGACATCTATCCATCTACCCATCCATCTATCTGTCATCTATCTGTCTATCATCTATCATTTATCTACCTAATTTTTTTAATAGAGTTCTACTATATAATCCTGGCAGGCTTGGAACTCACAAGAGATCCCACCTGCTTATGTCTTCTGAGGAATTAAAAGTATGTTTCACTGTATCTGATTCTACTTTAGTTATGCTTTTTTATGTTTTGAGTTATTGATTGAGAATTTCATAACATGTGTTTTGATCGTGTTTGCTCCTCCCTCCAATATCCTCTAGAACCTCCCCCAACTTGTATTGGCCAGCGACTCCTGGGTGTGGGGCCTGCCCAGGAGTGCGGTGGAAAGCTGCTTCAAGTCTTTAGACTTATTTTTTTTTTTTTTTTTTTTTTTTTTTTTTTGTATTCTTCTGTGAGCTGGTCAAAAAATTCATCACTGTCTGATGTTTGAGAGAGGAGGCTGCTTCAGCACAACTCTTTTTTTTATTTAAAATTTTTTTCATTTTACATACCAACCCCAGTTTCTCCTCCCTCCCTCTTTCCCACCCCTCCCTCCCTCCCCTTCCTACACCCTCTCCACTCCTCAGAGGGGTAAGGCCTTCCTTGGACCCTCTGTCCCTTCCTTAATTTCTTTTCCTTGTTCAACCTCCCTTCCACCAGGGTCTCATATATCTCAGGCTGACCTCGAACTCCCTGTGTAGCTACAATGATCTTGAACTTCTGCTTCACCCGCCTTTACCTCCTGAGCTCTGGAATTACATGTGTGCCTCCACACCTAGTTTATCTGTCACTGGGGATGGCACCCAGGGCATCATGCATGCTAGTTCAGCTCTCTACCAATGGGGCCACATTCCTGAGCCCTTGAACTATTTCTTCATATAGAATGTAAGAATAATAATAATAACCTTCAATGCAGGCTTGTTGAAAAGACTAAATAAAATAGTATTGTATAAAGCACATGGTGATACTAGAATATCAAAAAGGGTCCGAGGTCAGCACTAGGACACCCTTTGAACCCATAGTGATCGGACATTTAAACATATGAGCCACATGTGTTTCTATGGGCCTTGGGTGGCCATGGAATTGAGCGATTTTTATTTTTATTTTTTTGGTCCCTTAAAAGCCTCATCTCTTTGCAGAAAGCACAGCAAACACCAGGCAGTGTGCGGAAAGGATCACTTATTTATTATCGCTCAGCGTCAGAAACCATCTGGACCATTTTCTTAGAGCAGATGTTTGCCAAATTAACTCCGAAAACTGAGACTTCACGGAGGGTCTCTCTGTTAGCACAATAAATGTAAGTAGGGCAGATGTAGATAAACTTTTCAAAACAATATTAAGCCACATTACAGTCAGGTGAAAACCATGGTGACTGCACACATCCTTTAGTTTGCTCAGGGAAGCTCAACTCCTCTGGCTGCCAAGGGAATGATTTAGAAATGACTCGGAAGTGCAAAATTAGCTTTAAAACAAACAAACAAATAAACAAACAAACAAAACAATATCTCCAAGAAGAGTGGAAAACCATCAGTGTTCCTGCTGTCCTCAATAGTGGTTATTATTAATTATGCCTTCTGACACTGTGCCAGACCTGAGAATAAGAAGAGTTTCTAGCCTCTACTCTCAGGGATTTCAGACAAACAGGTCAACTGACCTATACGGTGTTGTCAAAGGTTGTTGCATAGACACCACCACTGTCCCCATTGTGAACTATTTAAGTGTGCCAGGATGTGCGTTCTTCTGAATGTTGCTCTCTTGCTTTTATTTGATCTAGTGAGACAGTCTTTTTTAAGATTTATTTATTTTTTGTGTGTGGGGGGACCAGAGTGATGGATCTGTGATTAAGAGCATTTGCTGCTCTTGTAGAGGACCTGGGTGTGGTTCCCAGCACACAGTGTGTTCACATGAGTGCAGTGCCCTTAGAGGCCGGGAGAGTGTCCAATCCCCCTGGAGCTGGAGTTATAGGTGGTTGTGAACTGTTGACCTGGGCGCTGGGAACCAAACTCAAGTCCTCTGCAAGAGCAGTAAGCAATCTAAAACTGCTCAGCCATCTCTCTAATCCTTGAGATAGAGTCTTATGTTGCCCAGGCGGCCCCTAACTCTCTTATGTATCTCAGGATGACTTTGAACTCCTGATCTTCCAGCTTTTACTTCTTGAGCTCTGGAATCGCAGAGTGCACCACCACATCCAGCTAACAGCTTCTTTATTGGCCTATGGAGACTCTCGAAGCTTTTGATTATCTTTGTTGTTGGGGCCCCCTGTTCTTGACTCCTTTCCATCATGACTTAAAGTCAGAGAATTCAAACCTATTCTTGCTCCTCAAGGATAAACAACAGGATGTTTGGCCAAAGGTGTGGCTATGTGAGGTCTTGCTTCTCAAGCCAAACAACATCATGTTTGACTTAGGGCATGGTTACTAGATGTCTTTAGTATTAAGGAGGTAATTGCGCTTATTTGTTTCTCGT